GGCTGTCCTGGAACTTGCTCTGTAGACCAGGCTAGCCTCAAACTCACAGCAATCCACCTTCCTCTGCATCCCTAGTGTTAAAGGCATGAACCAACAAAATTTATATTTTGATGCAGTGGTCCTCAACCTTCCTAATGCTGCAACCCTTTAATGTTGTGGTGACCCTAATCATGAAATTATTTTCATTGCTACTTCATAACTATAAATTTGCTACTTTTAGGAATCACAATATAAATATCTGATATGCAGGCTATCTGATATGTGGCCATCAAAGAGGTAGTGACCCACGGTTGAGAACTACTGTTCTGATAGATAAGGAAGGATACCATTGAAGGTACCTTTTATTTATTGAAATCTGTGGACTGTGAGTGTATGTGTATGTCTCTGTGTGTGTCAGTGTGTTCATCTGCACACCAAAGAACACCTTGCAGGAGTTTGCTCTCTCCTTCCAACATGTGGGTTCTGAGGGAGGATCAAACTCGGGTAGTCAGACTCAGAGGCAACAAGTGCCTTCACTGGCTGAGTCATCTCATTGGCCGGTTTTATTGGGATGGTGTGGAGGGAATGGAGGTTAAGATAAAGCCTCACTGTGTAGTTCAGACTGACCTCAAAATCACAGTGATCCTCTGGCCCTAGCCTCCTTAATGCTGGGATTATAGGTGTGAGCCACCAAGCCTGGTTTTGAAGGGCTTTTTAATCTGAAGAGTGATAGGATTAGAATGGGTCGGGGGACCCTGCTTTTTGAAACAGGGTCTTGCTTTGTAACCTTGGCTAACAAATGCTTGCTCCAGAATTGTTGTAGATCATTCTGCCAGCAACATTGAGAATCAACTGAATCACAAAGGGTGCCCAATAAACATTGACATCTTGGCAACAAATCTAAGCTCATACCACCTTGCCTTGTCCTTCTCTGCTTTCCATATTTGATACAGGGTACCTTGGTACAACGCCAGCAGACAGGTGAAAACAGACTTAGGAGTACCAGACTTCAGGGTTAATTTTACTGTGACAGCTGTTGAAGCATAGGGAAGTCTATAGGCCTTCACAAATGACATGTATTTATTTCATTACTTCATGGTCTGTTTAGAAATATAGTGGAGAGAATTAAGGAAGAATTTACAGGTGATGTTCACCTGTGGTTCTTTAGGGCTTGGAGATCTGTCCCAACAGGGCACTCTGTCACTAGTTTCTGCTTGGTGGAACTTCTCTAGAGATTCCACTAAGCAAACAGGAAGGAGGGAAGCAGTGAGCTATAGAACAATGGTGAGTGTCTGACATGCAGACCCAGAGCTCCAGGGAAACATGGCAAAGCAGGAGCACAGAAAACTTACCAGGCCAAATGCTCATTGAGGAAGAAACAGTGGAGCTGCAGAGCATTAAGCGCTGGGAAATTAAGGACAGCCCTAGGATAGATGATAACATTCCTTCCCCCTTCCATATTTTCTTAGCATTCTAACTAGGCGATTCCTAAGAACCAAAGGCAGGAATTTTTTAGAGCATGAGCATGGATGCAGCCTTGTTCTGTACAGCATGATTTTCAGACTTGGTTCCGTAGAATCACCTTAAGGGCATGACTATGACACAAATTACTAAGTCCTAGGGTTTTCTTCTCTTTCTTTCTAGAAAAAAACACCACCAGGGTTTAACTTGTGCCAAGGATGACATGACCTTTGAACACATGATCCCCCTGCTTCTACCTCAGGAGTCCTGAGATTGTAGGTGTGCACCCCACAACTGACTTGTGCATGCTAGACAAGTACTCTACCAACTGAGTGATGTTCCCAGTCCAGAAGCCACATTCCTAATGCATTTACTGCTGTTGTTCAGATGGGAATCATACTTCTAGAACAAGATACCAGTTGTATGATTAATATAAATGTGACTCTTCTGGGAATTTGATATAATCTTAATGTAACTTTAATGGAAATCAGTGATGTACAGGTCTATGAGGTCCAGCCCTACACCGCTTGTGTTTGGAGTATTGCTTGTTTGGTCTGGGTTTTGCTTTGTTTTGCAGCAAGTTTCATGAAGCCTAGTCCAGCCTGAAACTTACTGTGTAGCTGGCATCAAACTCAAAGCCATCCTACCATGGCCTCCTAAATTCTGGGCATATGTCATGCCTGATATAGCTTTGGTTTTAATTCAGTCTTCATTTATTAAAAATGCAAGGAGGTGGGCAGAAAGATGGCTCCAAAGTTGAAAGTGCATGCTGTTCTTTCAGAGGACCTGACTTTGTCTCCCAGAATTCCTATCAGGTGGCTCATAACTGCCTGTAACTCCAGCTCCAAAGGATCCAGCACGCTCCTTTTTTTTTTCTTTTCTTTTGTTTGTTTGTTTTATTTTTCAAGATGGGTCTGTGTAGCTTTGGAGCCTGTCCTGGAACTCCCTCTGTAAAACAGGCTGGCCTCGAGTTCACAGAGCCACCTGTCTCTGCCTCCCGGGTGCTGGGATTAAAAGCGTCACCACCACCTCCTGGCCGTCCAGCATCTTCTTCTAGAGACTGAAGCACAGGCCCTCCCTGCACATCCCCACACACAGAGAATAAGATTTATGAGTAGTATAGAAAGTGCTGATGGAGAAGCCTATTAGTGTATAACAAACTACCAAAACTCAGTGGCCCCAAACAGAGACTAGTTATCTTAAAATTCCGAGGCTTGAACTGGGATCAGCTGGGTAGTTTTACGGTGTACATGTAGTTGGTCAGGACCACAGTTATTTGGAGGCTTATCTGATCTGATATGTCCAAGGTGATTTCATAGCAGTAGTTGGTACGGCCTGTTGGAGTTCAGCTAAAGCTGTTGATTGGAGTACCTCAAACCTCCTCCATGTGGCTTTCTTAGCATGATAGCAGGGATCTGAGACAGAACATTCCAAACATATAAGGTTGGAATCTACAGATTGCTTAAGGCTCAGGCTTGGAAGTTACAGCGTGTCACGTTGTTGCATTCTGTTTGTCAAAGCAAGTCACAAGACAAGCCTAATTCAAGAGGAGGGCAAAGGACTACTTGTGGATGGGAAGAGACAAAACAAAGCTATGGAGCCTACCATGGGCTACCTAGAGCAGGCTTTAAGAATGGATAGTTGGGGAGGTACAGCTTTCCTGCCAGAAGAGTATTGCAAAAGAAATGGCATATGTTCACTAGGAGGCCTGGCTGGGTACCTGAGGCCTGCCAGGTTGGAATGGACTGTGTGACAAGGTTCTGAACCACAAAGAGAAGAGGTTGGGTTTAGACTCAGACTCTTAAAACAGTGTGGAAGGCTTCTTGGTGAGGCATAGTACAGAATTTGGGAATGACTCTTCAGGCTTTCAACTAGTACTTTTTCCTGTTAGCCTAGGGTCAATAGCTGTGGATTTGGCTTCTAAGATGTGAAGGGAGTTTCACCCTTGAGGTGACTATAATGATTGTTAAGTAGGTGTTTTGAAGGACATGAGAACTCTAGCAGTGCTCCAGAACTGGCCACAGTAATAGTTTAGGGACATGCAGCTTGTGCCAGATCTATTTTCGGCTGCATCCAAGGGTTAGTTACTTAGTCTTGCCCTTGTCTTTTCCCCACAGTAACCCTCCACTGAGTGAAGAGATGTTGCCTCCTGGGGAGTGGATGTGTCACCGGTGCACTGTTCGCCGAAAGGTAATCACGCTGCTTTCTGAAGGCTTCACTCAGAATGCCAGATCTAGAGCAGTGATACTTTAGTATTAAGGGGCTTGATCCTAAGGGCATGTTCATCCTTTCTTGTCCCTTCTAACACTGGATTCACCATACTCTCTCCCTGTTGACTGTAAGACCTAAAACTCCAGACATGGGATGTGAAAGGGGGCAGAAGGGGTGTGTTATTCAGTGAGCCATTAGTGAGTTTGAGGCCAGTCTGATTTTATTGACCTCTTAGGAAATAGCCTGAATGTGGTGTCCTATCTGTGGCTCCAAAAAAGAAAGCTGCTTCTCAGTTCTGTAGGGTCTCCAGAGGCTTGGTCAGTTTTATTATTAGAGGAGTGGATTTTGAACCCCTCTGCCCTGATTGTCTGATTTCTCTTTGTTCTCCTTCCCTCCACTCTGTTAGTTCAGTACTAAATGAAATATGAGCGTGGCTCATTATTTTCTTTGAACTGTTTTTTTTTTTAATTTAATTTATTTATTTGGTTTTTTGAGACAGGATTTCTCTGTGTAGCTTTGAAGCCTGTCCTGGAA